AAATCATCTGTTTTACCGCCTTATAGCTATTGCACAGAGAGATGAAAACATGGCTCCATACTTTGACTACGAGCTTACAGCAATGCCAACTTCGCTATTCAAGGACAATTTTATGCGAAAATCTGTGAAATCCCAACTAGCACAAGCCCTCGAGAAAGGTGTTCAGTCCTCTGGAGAAAACCCGCAAGCCATGCATGTTCTCGATGGCGGAGCCCTTATTCATAAAGTGAAATGGCAGAAGAAGGTTACATACAAAGACATAGCGGTGCAATATGTAAACTATGTGCGTACAAGATATCGCGACTGTTGTATTGTGTTTGATGGTTACGGATAGGGTCCGACAATTAAAGATCACGAGCACCAGCGAAGAATTGGTAAAACGTGCGCTGATATTCAGCTTAGTGAAAATATAAAGGCTCACAGTGATCAGCAGACCTTCCTCTCGAACGAGAAAAACAAAAGTCAGTTCATCGCGTTGCTGAGTCGATGCTTGGAAGCTGATGGCCAGATTGTGCATAACAGCACGGGAGATGCTGACGCATTGATAGTGGAAACTGCTCTTCAATTTCCAAGACAGGAAAGAGAAGTAAAAGTTGTAGCAGATGACACGGATGTACTTATCCTCTTGATGTACCACTGGAACGCGAATATGGCTGATATATATTTCCATTCAGAGGCAAAGAGATCAAAGAAAGATTTGAAGGTGTGGAAAGTTCAAGATCTTGTTAACAAAGCTGGCAAAGTTGTAACATCCCATCTCCTGTTTATCCACGCATCGAGTGGATGCGACACCACATCTGCAACATATGGTCATGGCAAAACCAGTCTTCTGAAGAAGATAAAAGATTCAGAAGAATTGCAGCGGATATTTTTCTTGATGACCGATCATGAGGCTACAGTAGAGCATATTGGCAAAGCAGGTATTCGGTTATACGTTCTCCTATATGGTGGCAGAGCAAATGATTCTTTGAACAGTCTACGGTACTCTAAATACATGGAGATGGTATCGACAAGCAAAGCATCAATTGATCCACAGAAGCTTCCACCTACAGAAAGAGCAGCATTTTTTCACAGTTTGCGGGTTCACTTGCAAGTTATAACTTGGTTGAAGCTCACAAATGATTACCTGAATCCGACACAATGGGGTTGGAAACTTGCTGATACAGTACTAACACCAGTTCTCACGGACTTGGATGCAGCGCCAGAATGCTTATTGAAGTTTGTAAGATGCAAATGCAAACTATCCTCTCGAAATCCATGTGGTAATAACAGTTGCTCATGTCGTAAACATGGGCTGAAATGTGTAACAGCCTGCGGAGACTGCAGAGGAGACAGTTGTCAAAATGCTGAGGAGATCACCCTTGACAACGAAGACAATGTTAACATTGATGAAGAGTAATAACTATTGATTTCAACATGCAGTTAACAGTAACAATTTTGAACAACAGTTGCACTTATTTACTTCAATGAAGGTTAATCAAAACTTACTTTTTTAGTTTTTTATACCAAATTTTGCAAAATATGGTGGAACCCTACAGTTCTTCAAAATATGGACTAAAGTCAAACTAAAATCGGTCAGAGATCCACATCTTATTTCACGAAAAGTTTTCTGGTAGACCATACGATCGAGATTAAAGCAATTCTGTATAACGAAATTTTTAACTTGGTTTTTAGTTTCGAATAAAAAATTTGGCTCTACAATTTTTGCTCTAACTCGTCAAGACAATCGATTGTAGTACAAAAAAGTTTCATTAAAAAATGGGAGTAACCGACCGTTTCCCAAAGTTAAGTGCGCTAAAATAATAAGATATCGGCCTTATTGAATAGTTATTGTTGCCATAGTAACGGTAATGACGTCATTTTCGCTACCAATGTCGGACTCTTTGATTGTTGCTTTATATAAGGTATTCATGTTTTGTGTTCCAACGAGTAACATTCTTCAAAGGGTTTGACTTTAATTATGAATAGTCCATATTTTATTGAACAGTAGGGAGCCACCTTAACACACTCATAAAACAAATTCCCCACTTGGGATTTTTGCCGATTTTGGATATAGTATTCTATGACATATTATGCTTCGCTGGTGTAAAAATCAGCTTTGTACCATTTTTTTCCCGGTGAATATGCTCAACGACCAGACTACAACACGGGTTCCTTGTTGTGTGCCTGTTAGGAAGTTTACGATCCAGTTGAGTAACACGGGATGAATTTGGAAACAAATCCGTATAGTGTTACCTTGTTTGTCAGCTGCTTCAAACCATTTATGTAGCATGTAGATTAATGCCATACTAGTGCTTGAACCCTTCAGCGAACCAAATTGCAAGGAATCAATTTTTTTGAGACGGAGTCAAGTAGCCATTTGTAGGGAAAGGATTCAAGAATCTTGCTGATAATTGGTGTGAGGGAGATTGGTCTGAAGTCAGAATCAACATCTTTAGGAGGCGAAGATTTTTGAACTGGTGTAATATTTGCTGCCTTCCATATTGAGGGAACAAATCCTTCACGAACTGATGAATTAAAAATAGAACACAAAGGTCGACACAATACTGAAGCGTTTTCCCGGAGAAGCCAAGAAGGAATTTCATCGGGACCAGCAGATGAATGGCAATATTCTTCACCGCTGACCGGCAATATTCTTCACCGCTGACCACCATTTACGAGAATCGGACTGTTGAACGCCCGCGATACTTTTATTGTAGTAATTTAGTCGTGCCTTCTTGCAAAGTGCATTGACTTTGTTTCGATAGAATCTGAACATCAGGTTATTGCCAGCCGCCCATGCTGTCTGCCGCTTGGAAATGAGAGATTTTATTTCGGAAGTAATTCAGGGCTTGTCACTAGAATCAATTTTGATTTGATTCCAAGGCAAATGTTCGTTTATGATATTATCAACGATGGTGGGAAAATACTGGAACTGCTCGTCACAAGATTCCATATGGTGCAAAGGTAACCAATTAACTTTCGACAGATGATCGCTAACAATTCGACGATTGGTTGGGTGAGAGTCTCGTACTAAACGTATAGTGCCACCATAAGAGTTAGCTGGAAGAGGTTTAAGAACGATGGAATTATGATCGGAATGTCCGATTGGAGAAATTACCAGGGCAGAATTATAAAATTTAGAAATGTTGGTAAATATTTTATCTAAAATATTCTTTCCTCTAGTAGCGTCTTTGACTAACTGCTTGAGGTTAAAGGAACTGCATAACTGCATGGCGATGTTTAAATTGGTTAAAATCTCCGGCCAAGATAATTCCTGTACCGGGATAGGTGGAAAGGACAGAATCAATTGATTCGGTAAGGTGTGAAAGAAGGGCTTTATCGTCACTTCCAGGTGGATGGTACACGATTCCCAATACAATTGGATTTAAACCACGAGGCAAGCGGTGAGGTTTTAAGAGTAACCAAAGCGACTCATATTCGTGACTTTCAATCTCTTTAAGATGAATGAACGTAAGCATGTCCTTATGCTGATATATCGTCACTTGAGTGTGTGGCTTTAGCAGCCACAATGGTTATGCCTGCTCTTTTATTCCAGAAACCACATCCCAAATCTAAGGCACAAGAGCAGACTTTGTATCTAAATCGTAGACTTAAGCAATGGATGGATGGGAATATCAATGGTCTGCTAGATGAGGGTCGTGCTATCCAAAAACGCTTAGTCAGACAATATCTAAGCAGCGGTCATCTGATGATACTGCGCGAGTTTCGCAAAGTTGATGATGCAGGGTAAAGTATGAGTAGCACTTCGGATAATATCCGAAGACAATAGAGGATGTCTGACCTTAGATAGCTGTGTTGCCCCTGACAATCCCAAGACCGTCAGACAAGTCCTGTTAAAGAAGCATCCACTTAATATACCACCTGTTCAATCGGCGGTACTAAATGGGGATTGCAACATGGAACCACACCAGTTATTTTTGATAGGATTGATGGAGAGTTGATACAGAATACGGCCATTAAAACAGAAGGAGCCGCAGGACCATCTGGTCTTGATGCAATGACCTGGCGACGACCCTGTACATCTTTTAAGGTTACTCTACATGATGGAAACCCATTTCACCAAAATGCTCACTGCACGCTCAATTTTCAAGTTTTCCCCTTCAAATTCCGCATGCATAGTGATAAAAGATTGCTGTAGCTAACGATTTGCCAAAAATTCTACATCTTTAAAAACTGTACTTGCTACGGGTTGCTTTTGAAAATATGACGGCCTTTGCGTCACGAGATTAGAACGCTTCTGATTTAACTCAAAGGTCTCCCAAACATAATATTTCGCGTTTTTTGACAGGTATTGTATTTGCTTTGATATAAAGCAGACAAGTTGACTCATCTAAATTTTGGGAGAACGGCAGAACAGATGCCTATAACTTGAAAAGTATGGCACTAAATAAAAAACGCGAACATGGTTTTGCTCCTATACTATTGTTCAGCATTGTGGCAAAGTTTGGAGGGAATCGGATAAAACGTGCACGTTTCTAAACTGTTTTTTGGGACAATCTGAGAATATTTCAATCCCCGTAAAAGACAATATTAGATTTGGCGGGGTTTTTCCGCTCTCTGTTATCACCTCGAACTGTAATCGGATTAAAATTAGTAAAGTGTGTTTTCGCAAGGGTTTTAGGTGTCATTCACTCATTTTCAGTTTATCACAAACCGTACATGCGAGAAACCACACAAAAAAACTTGCTAATATGCCGGCGAAACGCAAATGTAAGGGGGTAGCTATACAGACCGATCCAAACCGGCCAAATGAAAATGCAGTAGAAGATCTGTCGTGCTCCACGAAGACACAAACGAGGTTGAAGGTCACACATCCGGTATGGTGTTCGCTAGATAGTATACTTCAAAATAAGGTTTCCGTTTTTATAACGTAGAAAAAACTATCGTAACGCAAAACTAAACCCTAACCCTAATACTAAACCTAACCCTAACCCCAACCTAACCCTAACCTAAACCCTAACCTAACTCTAACTTATTTTAAAAATAGAATAAAAACGGAAATCTTATTTTGAAATATACTATCTAGCAATTGCCGTTACATCCGGTATCGAGTATCATATTTATCCACATATTGTCTATTACAATTACAACTTTCGCGGCAAAAGAATCAGTGGTTATAACATTTTTTGTTATATTTCGGACGCATTTTAATATTTTTGAAAAAAACTTGGGGCAATCAAGAGATCTCCAGCCCCTGAATATAAATCAATAAAAATGTAAAAACTGATGAAATTAGTGTTTTCATCATATAATGTAACCTTAAATCATGTTCAGTTGGTCTATGTGACGCTTTAGCCGTAGTTGCTAGAAGATTCTGCACTACTCTTGTTGATCCATCAAGTTTAACATCATTTGTTGGTAGTCGCTTGATTGCGCTTGATAAATGCCCTGGAGTACGTGCGGTCGGAATTGGTTAGGTGGCTCGGCGTTTATTAGTAAAGCGATTGTCAGAGTGATTGGCAACGAGATTCAAGAAGCTACAGGTCCACTACAGACATGTACTGCACATTTATCCGGTTGTGAGGCAGCTGTTCACGCTATGCATCAAGTGTTTGAAGATAAGGATGCGGATGGTGTTATTCTTGTAGATGCTACCAATGCTTTTAACTGCCTAAACCGTCAAACTGCCTTAATTAATATCAAGCATCTTTGCCCAGCACTATCGAAGGTATTGACAAATACCTACAGATAACACATTCCTTTGTTTATAGACAGAGAAGTAATTTATTGGCAAGAGGGCACTACACAAGGAGATCCCCTTGCAATGGCAATGTACGCTGTTGCTATTACACCATACATTGATCCATCGCTGTTGCTATTACACCATTACATTGATCCATCGCCTTTCTTAAGAGAGGATAAGGCAAGTCTGGTTTGCCGATGATGCCTCTGCTGCCGGGAAACTTAGCGGTATCAAAGACTGGTGGAACAACATCTCAAAGATAGGACGAGAATACGGCTATTTCCCCAAAACAAGACCTGGCGTGTTGTGAAAGAAAGGCACTTCGAAGAAGAAAGTAGCTTTTTCAAGACACAGGAGTGAAGATTTCTCAGGAAGGAAAGAGGCATTTGGGTTCAGCAATTGGAACACGTTCTTTTTTAGAAAATTACGTTGAAGAGAAAGTGTCAACATGGAAGGAATTACTTGAACGTCTCTCTAACATTGCTATGTCACAACTACAAGCCGCTTATGCCGCATTCACGCATGGTTTTAATAGCAAATGGACATATTTAGCTCGGACAACCCCGAATATTGACATTTTACTCGCACAACTTGAAGAAGTTTTAAGATGCAAGTTCCTACCAGCTATCACAGGACAAAATGTATTCGATGACAACTTTTGCAATCTTATGGGACTATCAGCTCGCCTTGGAGGCCTGGGCATCACTGATCCTTCCCAAAAAAGCTCCACTTTCTATGAAAATTCTAAATCGATTACAGCCACAATCGTCAATATCATTATAGATCAATCGAGAGTAAGTCCTCCTGAGATTAAAAAAACTCAAATCAATGAGAAAAATCATACCCGCAACCTACAAAGACGACATGAAAAAGCTGAAGCAAACCTGATTGCAGAAAGATTGCCTCCAAATCTACAGAGAGCGATAGAAGTTTCTACTGAGAAAGGAGCTTCCACATGGCTTACCGCGCTTCCGTTGTCTGACTATGGCTTCAGCCTACATAAAGGATCTTTTCGAGATGCATGACCTATGTCTAAGATATGGATGGCTTCCTCAGCATCTTCCTTCCCGCTGCGTCTGTGATCAGAAGTTCACAATAGAGCATGCCTTTAAATGCTCACGAGGAGGCTTTCCCTCAATCCGACACAACGAGATAAGAGATATTACTGCTGATTTTTTGATGGAGGTATGGAGTTGGTGTCGAACCAGGCCTACAACCTGTAACTGATGAAGCGTTTTCATAAAGATCAGCAAATAGAGAAGATGGTGCTCGACTGGATGTTGTAGCAGAAAGTTCCTGTGGTCGCGATCGGCAACGTGCATTTTTGACGTCACGGTGTTCAACCCTTTCGCACCGAGCTATCGAAACACCTCCCTCTCTCAATGCTATCGTAAGAATGAACTGGAAAAAAGAAGAGCGTGTGACGAAAGAATTAGAGAAGTAGAACACAGGTCATTTTCTCCGCTGGTCTTCTCGACAGCTGGTGGTATGAGTGCCACTGCAAACATGGTCTACAAAAGAATAGCATCCTTGATCGCTGAAAAACACGGCAAGCCATATAGCAAGACAATAAACTGACTTAGCTTTTCATTGTTACGATCAGCGATAATGTGCCTATGTGGATCCAGATCTTCCCACCACAATCCAATTAATTCCTTTGGTTGGGAGATTGAACAAGCACTAGTTGAAGGACGTGTATCTTGCTAAACAAAATATAAACTGTAATTGTATAGGAACATACGAACTCGTTTGAAAAACCAATAAACAGATGCAACTAATCGTTTAACTTTAAACATTTTTTTATTGTAACTATAATTTTAATGTGTATTTTTAATAAAAGTTCTTATATCCTTGTCTTTAAAAAAAAAATTAAAAAAGCTCCCTAGACTCCGAGCGGAGCTCCATAGGCCCCGCGCGGAGCTCCATAGGCTCCAAGCGGAGCTCCATAGATTCGGAGTCGAGCTCCCTAAGCTCGGAGACAGCTCCTTAGGCTCCAACCAGAGCTCCATAGGCTCGGAGCTGAGCTCCATAGGCTCTGAGCCGAGTCTATGGGGCTCTGCTCGGAGCCTAAGGAGATGGCTCCGAGCCTATGGAGCTCGGCTCTCAATATTCTTCGGAAGTAATAAACCGAGAAACATTTACCGGTTTACGATTTGTTAAATGCTATCCATGTAAATGCCATGATTTCGTTAATCAGTTTATACTGACAATACAATTATATTATATGTAAGGTATGGGCTACCTGTAGCGGACATGCGCAGTAACAGAGAGATTGAGACAGCATGTTGAGATTCTAGTTTGGTTGTTTTCGACTGTTTTAAGACATATAATAACCTTTATTAGAATGCTTTAATAGACATAATACAATTCGTCGTATTGTTATTACACTGGTGGCAGCGGTGGGATCGAACAAGACGGTTCTTCCGGAAAACAAGTTCTCAGGAGAGGAGGATATTCGAGAATGTCTACACGATTTTGAAATATTTGTTGCTGTGAACGAATGGTCGGATGTGAAAGCTGGGCAAAATTTGGCAGTGTTTTTGAAAGATGATGCGAAGGCATTTTATCATCAACAATCGGACACGGTAAGGAAGAGTTACAAAGAGCTTTCACAGGCTTTGAAAGAAAGATACGAGGGGGGCTTGGCATTGTTAAAGTATAAGAAAGAGTTTAATGCCAGAAATAGAAAGGACGGTGAGACGTTACATTCTTATTTGTCGGATTTGAGATTGTCGTACGAAAGAGCATACAGTCCACCTATAGTAGATCCATTGCCTGCAGATGCAAATGCAGCTCAGAAAACAGAACATACCAAGCAAGAAGGAGCTTTAGTTTTTTACAACAGGAGAAAAGTTGAGGATATATTATGCCAATTTGTAAATGGATTGGGGAAAGAGCTGAGAGAAGTTTTGATACGTCAAGATGATTTACTCAAGAAATCTGTAGAAAGCGTCCTTAAGCAAATATCCACCTTGGAGGAAGAACAAGGTATTACCAGAAGAGTTTCTGCTGCACAGAGAGAAGGAAAACTGGAGTGTCACGTGGACGGTGCACAAAAGGTAGAAGAAGTGGCACACCAACAACCCAGTCTGGAAAACAAATTAGATGAAATCCTCAAGAATCAGCGTACCTTCCAAGCTGCAGCGGTTAAAGAGGGAGGTAACAGATTTCCAGGAAAACAGAGGCCTGGTCTCAAACCCTCCGATATCTGCAGGGCATGTAACGGTCGTGGACATTGGGCACGCAACTGTCCTTCTTTAAACGAAGGAGGGGCTGGATGCAGACCCCCGGTCCAGCCCTAAAGAGTCAGAAAGTGGTCATGTACCCATATGGAAGCCCCATACCACAAACTAAGATTAGTACAGTACAGACCACCAGAGCACAAAGGGGAAGCTATCATGTGGAAGGAATTGTAAATGGGCTCAGAACAAATTCTCTGGTAGATACTGGGGCGGAAGTTAGTTTAATATGCGCAACTGTTCCTGGTTTAGAAGTTAGAGAATCCTGCATAGCACCAGTTTCAACTAACTAACCAACCTATTACAGTTCAAGGTGAAACTGACGTGAATCTTAGTTTAGGGTCGTTAAAAACTAGTTGGAAATTTTTGGTTGTGGACAACCATAAAGAGTCTGTTTTGGGAGCAGACTTTACAGAAAGTCATTATACTACTTCATGGGGTATTGCAGATAACAAATTGTGGTTTGATGACGTAGGGATACCACTAATGGGTATTAAAAACGCTGGTATGGTGAGAGATGACAACCACTCACCAGTGGTAGCTAAATGCATTGTGGAACTACCACCTCGGCACCAAGCAATAATCCCCATGCGTACTAAAAATAAGAGTTGTAAAAGAGGTTTATTTGAACCAACTAAAACACCAGGTGGTGTATTATTGAGGAAAACAGCAGTAGAAGGAGGAAAAGATGGACGTTTTTGGGTTAGAGCTGTAAATTTGACTTCTAATCCTGTCACACTATACAAAGATCAAAGAATCGGGATCATTTCAGAGATCGAGGACATGTCAGAACCACTTCATCTTAATCCGAGGGAAGAAACATCTACAGTTTCCAATGTCAGAACAGATCATGGTTGTGCAACAAGTATGTTAAGTGAAATTGGTGTGGACTTGAGCAAGAATGAGTTGAATTCATTCCAGTCAAAGCAATTAGAGGAACTGATACTGTCATACTCTGACATCTTCTCCAAGAACAAGAGAGATTTAGGAAAGTGCAAGCTCGGAGTGAAACATCACATCCATCTAAAGCAAGAGGCTGTCCCGGTCAAACAGCCTTTAAGACGAATCCCAGTTGGATATCGAGAGGAAGTAAGAAATGATCTGAAAACAATGCTAATGATGGTGTCATTGAGAAATCGTCATCAGAATGGGCTAGTCCATTAGTCCTTGTGCGAAAACCTTCAGGAGACCTAGGAATTGGTGTGGATTATAGAAAACTAAATGAAGTTACAGCTGTAACCAGTTACCCCTTGTCTAACATTACCGAGACACTGGACCGTTTAGCAGGGGCTTCATTTTTCATCTCTATAGATATGACCTCAGGATACCAAGTGGAAATTGCAGATGAGGACAAAGACAAGACAGCTTTTACATCACCATATGAACTATACCAGATTGCAGAATGCCGTTTGGACTTGCAGGTGCACCAGGGACCTTTCAATCAGTGATAGAAGATATGGTACAGGTATTAGACACGGAGGAGATAATGGCATATTTGGACGATGTGATTTGTTTTCATCCTACCTTTGAAGAACATTTAGAAGGAATTTCCAGATTGTTTCAGATGGTCAGGGATTCAGGATTTAAACTGTCAGGTAAAAAGTGTCAGTTTACTACCAGTTCTGTAAAGTTTCTGGGACACGTTATTGACAAGTCAGGAGTGCGACCACTTCCTGAGAAATTGTTTTAAAAATGAATTTTGGAACTTCATAGTTCAAACGCATGCGTATAGCACCCATTTTATTATTGACCGGTCAATAAATATTTGATTGCGGACCGGATGCCGAACATGACGTTTTGTGAACCGGCACGTGACACTATTTTGTGCAATCGGCAAACAGAAAAATTGAACTTTGGAACTAACTATATAACAATAAGATTTGTTATTCAATAGTTTAATTATGTCTGTACTGACATACAGATAGAATTATGGGGATGTGTCTATTATGACAAATATTTGAAACAAATTGATAAATTTGTAAGTAGAGCACGAAAATATGGTTATACTTCAAAAGGTTACTCGATGAAAGAAATAATATGTTCCAGAGACAAGAAGTTATGGGATAAAGTGACATCAAATGTGAACAATCCATTACATGAGTTATTACCAAACAACCTAGCCAGACCGCTTAGGCCTCGAGGACATGTTTATGAATTACCACGAATAAGGACAGAACGCTTTAAGTATTCCTATATAAATCGATGTTTATTCAACTTTATATGATTCCATATTGTACATATTTTACCTTTTTCAGAGTTTTAACTATTTGATATTCATATTAACTAGTATATTATAACTATAATTATTCGCAAACTATATAATTGTAGAATGCAGTATTTTAATGTAAACTCGGACGAGTGTTCTGAGGTTTTCTTAATAAAGGCTATTATTATTATTATTATTATTTTTAAATTGGTAAACTCCCATGTTTTTCATTCTAATACACGAACATATTAACATAAGATAATAATATAACATAACATATGGCGTATTAAACGCAAACATTTCTGTCTCAGCTGCATGCATTTTTGCAGTAAGCTGTTGCCAAAATTGTCCTTACTTATATAATAGGTTCGTTATAAAACGGCTTACGAATGCATGTTGACTCTTGAGTCCAACCTGCCCTTTCCATGATGGTGTTAATTGAGATATCCATCGCTTGGGCTGGGATGTCGAAGCTGAACGAGAACTGTGAGCTCCAAACTTTATCGTGTTGATATACCCGCAAGTTCAAGTACTTTCTTTAACTTAACCATCTGGTTACAGTGTCTGCAGAAACCGCTTTATATTGTTTTTGAAAACTTATCAGTAATTGAGCTTGCTTTCATCTTAATGTTCTTGTTCGGTCCATGTATCTTTCTAAATGTGTTACAATACACAATGCAGGGTCGGTTTTAAATGCTAGTAGTTTAATAGGGGTCAAATGATGACCAACTCTAAACGTCTTTAGCAATGTTCTGATAGTAAAGATAAACTTATGCGAAACAAGCTGCATATACCGTTTATATCCAATGCATGCAAAGTTTGGCATCGTTGCACAGATAATAATGCCAACGGTATTACAACCTTATATGTTAGTACCTTCATGGTCAGTCCGTCTGGCGGTCCAAGTATACCTAAATAATTAATCACAATGTTCACATCCCAGGTTTCTGTATATCTAGGAAACGATGGTTTTGTTTCAAAGACACCCACGTTTGGGTTAAAAACTCACACGAAATAGGAGGGGTGATACGAAATTTTGGCGGGGTTGAACACTTTATAAGATGAACACTTTATAACACCTATATTCGCCCATGCTTGAGCCTATCTGGGGTTTATAGTGATGATGTATCCTGGCCCAGTTGTTTGTCTGGCCCTGCTTTATGACCAGCCTTGGTTTAGCAACCTTCGTACCACATCAAGTTATTATCCACTTGCAATTGTTACTTACATCCCATATGAATTTGTGGTTTCCAATTACTTTAGTATATTGTATACATATACAAGTATATGATGATTATTTATATCAGAAAGGGAATTTGTAGTGACTAGCATGGTATACATGAAACACTGCAATAGCTGCATGTGTACGAAACTTAAAATTACAAATACATGCACTATGTGCACTTGCAGTGAAATGTGTTTAATATGGATATATGCAACAGTAACCAGAAGCAAAAAAAAGTGATTGAAGTAATGGATTATGTTTGCAAATATCCAAATTCGTCCTTGAAAATTCAAAACTAGTGCTTTAACATTTTGCATGTACCTTGTGAACAGGCAGGCCATCATTTCAAAGACGAAAGCAGTCACTTCAAATCCGTTTAATATTCATATAGATGCTGGTTGATGACAGCTTTCAACGCTCACTCCTATGGGGCTGTTTATATGAGGCGAGCCAGTTCGTTTATATGAGAGCCGAGCTGGCCCGCCTAACCGAGGTCCCGCTTCGTGTGACCCGAGACCTCGGGTAAACGAGCTGGGTAGTTTTCCATATAAACGCAACAGGGAGGGCTAGCCCTCCTAGTAGGGCTGGAAATTTAGCAAATACGCATGCGCAAATAATTAGAATAATTCAGACTGCACAAACAACTCCCATATAAGGAACCAACTACCATATATGGAGTTGTTTACGCCAAAAAAAATTAGAACACGAAGAGCCAGCCCTTGTCCTTGATGTACTAAGTTTCATGTAAACGCGTGGTGAAATTCATCTCGGGGATGCGAGCCAGCTCGGGTACCCGGGCTGGCTCGCTTCCATATAAACAGCCCCTAAGTCAGAGACATGTGTATAAACTTACATAATAATAATTCAAATAACAGTTATTATAAATACGATACTTAGCATGTTATTTTTCTTTATAGTTGGCAATGTTTTGCGTCATGACTCAGCCAAAAAGCAAGTAAAATTCTGTTATTTGTTTTCGCAAATTTGGGAGACTTTCAAAACCAATATGGCGACGCAGTATTTTTTCGCGAAGGTCTGGACGCTACGTTTTGAGCGTTTTTCGAAACAAAAACGCGACTTTGTAAAAATTCTGCTCTTAAAAACATTAATTTTCCTCGAGCAAACGGCGCGGAACACCCTTCCGGGCGTTAGCCGGGGGCGAGGGTACTAATTCCGCCCGACTATTTACACCCGTGGAAAGGAACGCACTAGCGAAGTCTAAAGTTCATCAAATATCGTGGGCGCATGGCTATGCTTCAAGGGTGGACCTCCTCACTGATCTCAAAAATACGGCTGTACGTTTGCCAGGAGTCGGATAAGCACACTGAGGATATTAAAGAAAGATTTCAATTTTTAAAAGCGTATATTTGGAAAACCACGTTTCATGCACAATGAGCTTTGAAGCAATTTCTGTTTGAAAAAATGAGCAGAATTGATTTGCAATGGAAAATCGTGAAATATAGATTATAGGGCAAGTTTGCTTTGAATGTTTAATATTTATGAATTTTGTTGCTTTAATCCCCGAGCCAACGGCGCGGAGCGCCGTTCTGGGCGTAAGCCAGGGGCGAGGGAAACGAAAGCATTAGCCAAGTCTGGAGTTCATCAGTGAGCGCGGGCGCCGGTCACCAACGATGCAGAGTGGGTGGTCATCCTCACTGATCTCAAAAATATCATATATGTCCAATATAGCTATCGGTTGTCAGGTGGTGAAGATGGTGTAAGATGGTGTCAGATGCTTTGTTTGTCAGACGCTTGTAGTGTGGTGTCGGATGGTGTAGGATGGTTCAGCTGAACAGCTGTTGTCAGGTGGTGAAGATGGTGTAAGATGGTGAAGATGGTATAATGGGGGGGGGGGGCGTTAATTTTTAACCTACCTGTGTAAATATAGTGTCGCCTCGTTCTTTCAAAACCACGTATATATCAATAAAACCTACCAGACCAACGACAAAAACGTTATGGCTAATTGTGCATATATAGGGTTGCCTCGTTCTTTCAAAACCACGTATATATCAATAAAACCTACCACTGGCTACCAGACCAACGACAAAAGCGTTATGGCTATAATTGTGCATATAGAGTGTTGCCTCGTTCTTTCAAAAACACGCTTCGTATATAGTAAACTGCAGTAGCAAACGCGTCAACGCATTACTATACAATCTTGGACAACGTCAAAAAATGTGTATTTATACGTTTCATATGTATACATGCTTATATTCGCGTTGACATTTTAGACATTTCCGGGCAGGAAACTATAAATTATAATAGTTATAACATGCACTAGCGGGCTGTAACTATTACCTTTTACTGCTTCAAATTCGGCCGGAAACTACAATGACAAATAGAAAACAGCAGGCATCTCAGTCTAAAATAAAACACTAGGAAGATCATGTGCGTAATCTTATTATTATTATTATTAAAACTTTATTTAAAGAAGGTTAATTTACAAGGAAATATGCCAGTTTAGCTTTCCTAATCTTCCACTGGACCTTCCAAAGTTAACTATATAATCGAATATATTTACATGCAGTACAATTTACATTTCTACAGACTACAGTATACATAATTGCATAAAGCACATATCGATATAGGTATAACAAATTAGAATTAACATTCACTGTACATCTTACGAGTTATTTTTATACATATTCAAAATCAATTCATGGGCTTTACGCTTGAATGCTTGAAAAGAGCTAGTAGATCTAATATCTGGTGGCAACATATTATAAATATATGCTCCAGTGTACCGAAGTCCACTCCTGGTGATCGGTAGTTTATAGTTTGGTATCCATAAGTCCATATTGGCAGTGCTTCTTGTATGTCGCTGGAAAATTGTTGACAATGGTTTAAACATATTACTTAAATAGTCTGGAGTCAGGTTATTTAAGGATTTATAAACTAGGCAAACAACCCTATACATAACTCTGTACTTTATTGGTAAAATGTTTGACTATTCGAAAAGTGGTATAGATGAGAAAGTTTAGATTCATCATAAATTAGTTTGAGGATAAGTTTTTGCACTTTGTATATTATTGAAGTGTGTGGTGATTGTCAGGGGCGCATGCACATTAGGGGAGTGTGTGTGTGCGTGTGTGTGTGGGGGGGGGGGAGGGGTGACTCCCCATGTTTTGTGAAATATATCTAAAAAGTCGGTCCCAAAACCTGAATGGGACGAATTCTGAAAGATATATTATCATTTTGTGTCGTCGAAAAAGTAATAGCACTAATAGGTGGACATTCTGGAAATGGAAGTTGCATAAACATAAGAAAAACAAATTAGACAAAGAAAAACGAATTAGTCATACACAAATTAGAGTTCACTGATACAAACCAAGAGAGCAAATAATCAACTTCCATGTTGCAACAGTTCAATCAATGTAATGCGATCAATTACCTTAAGTTCCCGCGGTGCGGTTAAAATGTGCATTGTTAGTCATGTCGAAAAGCTGAAACTTTGGAAGGCAGAAGTAAATCAGCGGCGTAGCCAAGATGGGGGCTCAGGGGGCTCTGCAATGGGAATAACGGGCTGCCCTTGTGGAAAGCTGAAATCCGGGCAGAAATTGTGGTGGGGTTACGATGTGTGAATAATGATACCCATCTCTTCTGTTTGCCAATAAAAGTTGAAGTCTTCCCTACCTAGAATCCTAACTCCAGTAAAAAATGCCCATGGTTGCTTTAAAGCACATTTGAACTTGAATTTGCGCTCAAAGCAACACTCATGACCGACGTCTACGAAAACGAAGACATGATGCTATTTTGTTGTTGTATTTGCGTGTACAATACAATGTTTTACATA